GACTGAAGCCACAGCCACTAAAACGATGGCGTCTTAGTGTCTTTCAATTTTTGGTGAATACTTTCTTGATGGAGACGGACGTGGTGCTGTAATTTGTGAACGGCCGCTGTGATGTGAAAATAAAACTTGTAATTTTCCTATGTTATGGGATTCTGAGGGTGGGTGGGTGTTGTGTCCGAGCCGTGAATGTAACTCGTCTTTAAAATTGTTCGAGCCGGGAGCTGCTGAACCCTAAACCCCTAAACCCTAAACCCCTAAACCCTAAACCCTATAATAAGTCCTAAGTTCTAAGACGGTAGGTTCTTTTAGGGTTCAGGTAGGGTCAGCACTGCTTGCTTTCGTGTGTGAAGGTCTGAAGGCTTCTAGAGATTAAACTACCTTAAGCTACCAAACCCTACTTTTTTGTAGGTTCTTATTATAAACCCTAATATGGAATTTATAGGGACCGTACAAAAAAGTAGGTTCTGGTAGGTTAAACTAGAGGTTTGGAGAGGCGTAGTTCAGGGTTTAGGGATTTACGGTTTAGGGTTTAGGGTTTAGGGATTTACGGGTTAGGGTTTGGGGTTTAGGGATTTAGGTTTAGGGATTTAGGGTTTAGGGATTTAGGTTTAGGGTTTAGGGATTTAGGGTTTGGGGTTTAGGGATTTAGGTTTAGGGTTTAGGGTTCAGGGTTTAGGGGTTTAGGGTCCAGGGTTCAGGGGTTTGGGGTTCAGGGTGTTTAGGGTTTGAAGGAGTCTCATGAGGGTTTTATGATAGCACACAGCATGAGGACATGGACTTGGTCGCTTGAACGTTGTTGTTGTGATGTTGAAGGGTTTAGACTATACCGGTATAGTGATTATACCTGGACCCTGAAGAACCTACCTCCTTAAGGACTGTTCTGGAAATCATAAACCCTAAACCCTGAACCCTAAACCCTAAACCCCTCAAAACATGGAGCCCGAAAAAAGGTAGGTTCTTTAGGGTCCAGGTAGGGCTTCGAGAGTTGGGTTCCTGGACGCACCGGTCAAGCCTTAACCCCGAAACCTTGCGCTCACTTTGAGGTTCCACGGGTTTTCGGTTTAGGGGCTTTAGGGTTTAGGGTTTTGGGCCAAGGGGCTTAGGGTTTAGGGTCTACTTGGAGGTTCATGGGTAGTTATTATTGCAAGTAGGATTAGTAGGATAACACTTTAATTATAACCCATGTTAGGGACTTATAACTTATAACCCTATGTATAACTACCCATGAACCTCCAAGCAACCCCAAAGCAAAAAGACGCAAAGCCTTAACCCGGAGCCCGTGACCTAAGTCCTAAACACTAATGAGTCACTATAATGAGCCGTAGAGAGCCTTCAAAGACCAAAGAGAAAACCGTTATTGGACCTAAACCCCAACCTTGCTAAGCCTTATATTTAAAAAAAGCATAGCGTAACACTGTACCACTATACCCCACTAAACTCTAAACCCTTAAGACCCTTAAAGCCTAAGACCCTTAAACCCTAAACTTTAGGCTCTAAACTCTGAACCTGGCCCAAGCCTAAAATGCCAGGATTCCACCCTTTGGCTGGCGGGTCAGCGCGTGGCCACGCTGCTGGTGTACCTGAAGGGACCCGCAGGCCGGCGGTAGGGTGGAATCCTGACAGTTAGGGTGTAGGCTTTGAGAGCCTTTTGGGGATTGAGGGGTTACGCGTTTAGGGATTGAGAGCCTTTTAGCCTTTGGGGGTTAGAGTTTGGGATTTTAGTTAAGAGTTTGGGGCTAAGGTTTTGTGAGCGTTTTCGGGTTTAGGCTTTGAGAGCCTTCTAGGGTTTAGGCGTTGAGAGCCTTTTGGGGTTTAGAGTTCAGGCTTTGGGGGTCTTAAGTAGGCTCTAGGGTTACGGGTAGGTGTGTGCACAGGAGGGCGATAACATGGCTGGACGTGTGTATGTAGGCAGGCAGGAAGGCAGGTAGGCAGGTAGGCAGGTCGGTAGGTAGCTAGGCGAAGGTAGGTTGGTTGGTAGGTAGGTCGGTCGGTCGGTAGGTGGGTGGTAGATAGGTATGTATGTATATGTATGCAGTATGCATGTACACTAAACAAACGAATAGTTAAATAAACAAATCAACACAAAACACACGAATAAAGCAATAAAACATGTGTATACATGTATATATCGTCCCGCTCTCGCGTTCTTTCTCTTTCTGCCTCTTTTTGTTTGATCACTTTCCATACGCTCAGCTCATGGCCATGGGCTTTGGGGTACTTTTGTGTTCAGAATGTACTCCTAAGACTCACTCACCCTCAAATCTCTCGAGAACCCCTACTTGCGGCAGCTCCCACCCAAGGACAGCGGCATCCAAACCCGAAAGCCTAACCAGTCCCACAACGCGCAAAGCCCTAGTGTCAGCTCGCAACTTGCAAGCCATAAACCTGAAGTGCGGAATAGCAAAGACTTAAAGCCCAACCTCAAACCTGAGGCCTGCGAAAAGGCCGCAGTGTGGGTTGCAGCCCTTGAAGGGACCAGCCAGCTGCGCTTCGTCCTGGTGTTGTACAATTTCCCAGGGCCTCTATCCACTATGAAGTTATAACGATTTAGCTAGTTTCACTTGGCTGACGTAGCTGTTCTCAAAGTACTTCGAGTAATTGCTGATTGGTATTCAGATTTGGTATTCAGGTGTTATTTGAACTACTCCATCCAGTGTTATTCACCGTCTCACATACTACTTGGTCGACAGCGTGGCTGCAATGACTCAGAAACTCCCTTATGGGGCTTGCGCAGTCAAACGACAAGGGGAAGCACTTCTGATCTGAACTGCGCGTGTTGCTTACAGTTCGGTTTAAGCCTCCCGAGTTTGATGAAACAAGGCACAAAGACGAGCAGGTCGGCGCAGGCTTCAGGGTTCAAGGCTCTGCGCTTGAACGGTGGAAATGACTTGCAAAGTCTAGTAGGCTCACATCAAGGCACATCGAGTTCCGTCTTGCGCGGCTTCAAGCTCAGATCTCAAGCACTAAACCCGGCTCCCGAAACCCGTAAAAGTCCACTCCAGCCTCTGAAATTTCTCAACAAAGAAGCGCGAAACTAGGATAACTAGGGGACGGGTTTCCTCCGGTCCCTGAAGCTTGAAGCCGCAAGTTCCAAGCCCCGGCGGCGTTGAAACCTACAGGGACCTCGGTCCTGGAATCGTAGCCGCATCTTTAAAAAAGCCTGACACCATGCAGCCGCAACCCAAACATCCCAAGAAGCACAGGCGAGAAGTGCGACTTCGCTGCGACAGCATTTGCCTCAATACTGCCGTGAGCGCATGCTGCAAGGCTGACAGGCCTGCCCAGCAGTTTTTGCAGTCTACGTAAGTTTCTTATTTTGGAAGTTTAACTCTGATCGTGGTACTGCAGCTGTTGCTACTGTACAAATTTGGTCATGTTTTGGCTCTGGCCTGCACGGGGTGCCAAACGAGATGGAATTGACATCATGCTGGAGAACCCTTTCGCAAAAATGGAGTTGGATCTGTTCGAAAGCTGAGAAGTTCTCGTGCGTTGTGAGCTAGCTATCTTATACGTCTCTCAAGACTCGGAATGTGGAGCCATTTTCATGTTCTGGATGCATCAGTCTTTTCTTAATGCTCTTGACCCAAGCCTGTTGGATACACGGGCTATCGAGACACAGGTGGGCCTGGGCATTGCAGCTGTTCAGCGGCATGCTGGAGATCCTCGTCCAACGAGTCGAAGGCTTTAGGGGCTTACAGGTTTTGTGATTGTGGGTCGTTCGTTTAGGGTTCATGTCCTGATTTTCGGAGATTACATTGTTTAGAGCTTGTGGGCATGCGGTGTGTACACGTTTGGCTCAGCTCGTGCTGTGAATGATGCTGTTGGTTATGACATCCACTCCTCGAGATTGATTGAGCGACAATTTTACAAGTTTAAAACTGGGTGCCGAAGCAACTTTTCGACAACCAAGTTGAAGTATGGCCCTCAACCCTAGGCAGCTTGGCCCAAAGCGCATAGCAAGGACGAGGCAGGCACGCAGCTCCGGTTCCTCCCGCCTCCACCCCCGCTCCAACATCTGCGCAGGGTGACGGCCACGACGACCCTGCACTCGAGGTCCCGGCGCCCGCCCTTGCAACCGCAGACCAGCGCCGTGTCTCTGCAGCCGAAACCGGTCTGCTGATGGGCCTGGCTTCCCTCGACGCCGTCGATCTTCAGGACACCCTGCACCGGCGTGTCCTCACACCGCAGGGCGTCCCCACCCGCCTCCGCGGAGCCCTGCGTACGGCCCTCCGTGCCGGATTGCAGCTAATTGCCGACCGCGAGTCGCCAGTACAAGAGCTGCGCGGCTGGAAAACTTTTTTGTCTGGCTCCGCGCATGCTTCTCCACCGCTCTGGCGGCGACTCGCTCATCCCACCTGCTGAACTCGATCGCCGCTGTGACCTCTTCGCCCGTGGTGCTTGGCCTGAGCTGCTCTCAGCTGGTTCCGCTGCTTCCCGGCCCTCGGCCACGCCCCAGGACGACCTCGCTGCTCGCGCCGCCCATGCCACAGCCCTTGTCCACATTGGCGAGCTTTCGGCCGCCGGCCGCACACTTGTACACTTGCACCCGGCACCGCCGCAACCCTCACCGAGCTGCGGGACCCCTCGAGACGCCCCCCGGCTCCCTACGCGCCGCTGCCGCAAGACGGTCACTGCTTGGGGCTTCGGGTTGAACAGCTGCGCTGAAGGCACAGACGGAACTCCTGCAGTAATTTGATAATGTAAGAACCTGATGAGAAGACACGATGGTTTGTTGCTCCATACACCTGACATGGCAGTATCTATAATTAAAATAATTAAGGCTACATTACCTCTGTGAAGAACGTCACTCGACGTCACAGCTTGGTGCTGGCCGAGACCACCATGTTTTCATTCCTGGTCTTAATCTGTATGCTGGTCTCTTGGATTCCGCTTCTCCATTTCCTGGGAGTGCCCTATGCCATCTCCACGAGCCGATCTTCGTGCGTTGCAAGTAGTCAGGTCTCAGAGACGTGGTGGCCTTGCCGCCAGCGCCGCACTAGCGGCTGCAGCCCGTCGAAGGGCATGGAGGCCAGCATTTTGCAGTAATTAGACTGATTTGGGTTAGGGACCTCCAGCGGCTGCACCCCGTTTGGGGTGTTGGCTTGAAGGGTGAGGGTGGGCAAGACAGTGCTCTCATCTCATGACTGAATCAAGCCTGGAGTAGCTGGTTTGTCGTGAATCCGGGAGCGATTCGGTAAGCAAGCAAGTCATTCCTTGTTGGATTGATCTGCTCGTTGGTAGTCTTAATTACTTAGGCTTCACTTGACTTGAGGCTGTAACATGTACTAGCCCATTTTTCGCCATACCTGCATCCATCCTGTCAGCTCCCTTTCCATTGCCTGACTTCTAGACTCTAGACGAGAATCTCAGCTCAGCTGGCTTGTAGGGTTTGTAGGGTTTATGCGATTTCGGTTGTTAATGGTCTGGATCTTCGAAGTCGTAGGCTTTCTGCATTAACTAGGAAAGCCTGCGAGTGGCCAACAGCTCTCAACCCAAACCCCTGAACCCGAAAAGCCCCAAAGCCCCAAAAACTCTAATACCCTAAAGGCCCTAGAACCGGCCAGAGCCAGAGCTAGCGCACTAAGCCCTCAGAAGTAAGGGTTCAGGGCGAGAGGGAAAACGAGTTTACAGGGAAGTTTTAGGGCTTGGGCCCGAAGATTTCAAATCACAGACGTTAGGTAAACGAGTCTGGAAAACACCGCGGCTGTGTCTCTGCTTTTGGTCATAGTGTCTTGAAGGCTTTGCTGTTGACGTCTGTCAAGCTGTCGGATCAAGATCAGAGCCAGAGCTTGCGCTGATACGATCTTACACTTTGCAACTGCTGCTGCACCGAACCCTAAGAGTCTGCAAGTCCACAAAAACTAAGGCTTAGGACTGTTTCAAGTCTAATCAGGGTGGCTAGACGGATAATCTGGGAGTTCAGGTGAAAAAAAGCCTCGAACATACCACACGGTGTCTTGACGGCTTTGCTGTTGACACCTTGGATCCAAGTCCTCAAACGCTGCATTCCCAAGGACCCTTGTAGCACCCTTTTCTGTCTGAAGCCCGAAGTTCCTGAAACCGTGAAACCTTATATTCCGCACTCCATGGCAAAGACAGAGGTTAGAGTTAGAGTTGTTAGAAACAATGTCCCATGTAGCCTTTGCAGTCATACTTATGCGATAATGCGCCCCACAAACCCTAGACTAATTCGAAGAGGCCCCTACATCAACAAGCATTCACACTCTAAAGCACAGAGCTTCTAAACCGTGAATGCTCTCGAACCCCCTCGCCATGAAGCGCCCTCTGGATGATCCGACAGTGGCACAGCTCGATACAGCTCGCTCAGAAAGTTGTCGAGACCACATTCCCCTAAGAACATCAGCAGCTCGGATTGTTTCAGGAGTACTTCGTTCCCGGTGGTCCCGACGTTCCCGATGAAGCGGGGCTCAAGAGCGCTGTGGGTGATCAGCAATAGCAAGCGGCGGATGGTTCCGCTTGCCATTTCAAAGGACCTCAAGGAATGGAAAGTGGCGACTGGCAGTGTCACTGCGCCAATACAAGTGCTGCAGACGAGACCTCGGGAGAAGAAAAACAAACTCTCCTGCGCTTCAGGTGTCTTGCTTTATATTTTCACCTCTTCCCGCAACATCTGAAAAACTTGTCTGGATGTTACGAACTCTTCGGCCGGTACTGCAACAGCCCTTGCTTCAGGCGCGGAAGTTTCCGCAGCTCTTCCTGTTGAAGTCCGGCGGTGGACTATGGGGAATACGAGGCGCGTCCCGCGAGGATCTGTGCACCAGCAACTATCTTATCCACTTCGAATGCCCAGACAAGAGCTTGGAGAAGGCCAGCTGCACAGCAGAAGATTGGCCGGAGCCTTCATCCTTTTCTACACCGGCGCAGACCGAACCGCCGCTCCCAAGAAGCGCAATATTAGCGATTGGGTATGAATGACATGGAGCAGGTGCGGAAGTAACAATATGTCAAAGATGAGCACGGCCACGGTCTCCTGACAAGAGAGGGCGAGGACTGCGACATGAAGGTGATCGAAAAGGCTGTCAAACTTCCGTGTCGACGGCACCTGGAAGGTGCAAAGTATCCGAGTGCTAAGGTGCGGCACCAAGACGGTGACTACATCAGGATGTCGGAGCGTCTTCACCGTCTTGTGCGCGGACAAGATTCGAAGAAGGCTTGCAGTACCGGTTTCGTGGCTAGCGCTTCTTCCCTCGTTGCATGCCAGGGCCAAGGGCCTAAGCTGCTTCACACCGGTTCGGAAAATGCCGCGAGACTTCACCACGGAAGATGTAGACCAGCGTGCGCAGGTGCTCCACCGACACCCCTGACAGGCGAGAGCTGCTTCTGACGGGCTCGAAGCTGTCAGTCTTCGAGGATCCGTAGCGTCAGCTAGACGTGGAGACATTCCAGTCGCGGTTCAAACACGTCCTGTCTCCGCAGCGGACGTACTTCCATCACAGGCCGAGCGACTTGATCGTTTGGGACAACTTGCAGACCCTTCACGCAGCCACGCCCTTGTCGACCAGTCGGATTGCTTGGCTTGTAAACAGGGCGCTCTGGAAGCGATGAGCCCTAAACCCTAACAGAGTCGAGACCCAGTCTTCTAGTCCATGGTTTACTTGTAGCATGTGCAGAGTGGTAGGGAGCAAGCGGGCTCCTCCATGTGCATTGGATTAGGGACAGGATGTTCTGATACTTCTTATAATTACCCACCATCATCTTCGGATCATGGCAGCCACAGGGCGGTTTTGCAGGACCGCTGGCAAGGCCGCCCTTTTGCCCTTGCCAGCCTGAGCCATCAGCACTATTCATCCTGAAGCCGTGGGCCCTACGCAGACTAGGCCGAGGCACCCAAGATTCCGAAACCCTCATTTGTCTAAGCTCCCTTCGAAATCAAGGGCAGGTCTGGCGTTGCTGGTTGAGCTGCGACGCCAGGGTCGCGGGTCTGCAGGGCCGCTCGGCTGGAGTTGGGGGATGCCTTGGAGGGAGGCTGCACGATTCAAGAAAGTATTGGGAGCGAAGGCTTGTAGGGTCATTGAGGGCAAGGAGGCGTGAATCTGGCCTTTCCATCAGGGTCGGGATCAAGGCCTCGGTCCTGAGCTCTACAGACCGCCCTTTGAAGCACAAACGGGCAACTGAACGAACGCCGCCCAGGAGCCCTAGAATTAGAACGCCGTGCCCGAGAGCGATCGAACCCTGAATTCGTTTTTAGACGAAAAGGCAGAAGCCCGGAAGATTGCAGCGTTGCATCCCAGGGTTTAGGCTCAGTCTCTTCGGCTGTCGGGGCTCCAGGGGTTGAAGGATCAGGTGGGCTACTGCACGTACAGCGGGCTGTTGCCTGTCGTTCCGTCACGGGAGCTGGGGCTGCAAGGGCTGCGAGCTCGCACATGCCGGGCCAAAGTTCCGCATAAGACAAACGGTGCACTCAACCCTCCCTGATGGTGCCCTACCCGAACTTCTTGATGACAGCAAGCACTTGCGGAGCATCCATTCGCAACTGTTTGCTTGGCGGGAAAACCTTTCCTCACTGAAACCTCAATAAAACCCGAAGCCCTCAACCCATTGAGGTGTGCAGATTCAGTAGCGTACACTGCCATGCTGCTGGCCTGCATCAAGTCCTCCAAATTCAGAGCCGTGGCGAGACTGCTGAAAGACATGAAGGCAGGGAGCATGCTGTCTGGATTCTTCAGAGTCTGAGAGCTTTCGAGCTTATGGGTTCGGCACATTGCTGTACTCAAGGATTTTGGAGTCTACCCAGGCATACAGCAATAGCGACAAGAGCTAAGAGCCGAAAAGCTGGCTTCTTCAGAACGTTCCTTTCTTGACGCAAGAATCCTGTAGCCTATAACCTATGTCTAATCTCTAGCCGCCCCAAGCCCTAAGAAGCAACAAAAGCCGGCATCGACCCCGTAGGCTTTGCGCTTGGAGATTGGACGAGCCGCGCAGAACGTCGCGTTGGCCCTGCAGGAGGTGCCAGTGCCGGGTGCTTCCATGAAGTTCCGATATTGATGTGGGAGCAGCTTGACGTCTCCTGTGGGTTTCCGGCTTTAGGCTTGCACCCAGCTTCTCATGTAGGCCTCCCAAAGCTGCATTTTTCGCAGCCGTTCCAGTCCGGCAATATGCCCGAACTGCTTCCCTGAGCTCTGGGCCTCTGGGCTTGATGCCAGAGTTACGAACTGGTCGATGTCGATACTCTTGTGCTCTAATTCCCATTCACACGGGGGTCGCGCGGCCCTTATCTTGTTAATGTTCATGCAACTCTGCTTCTCTGAGTGGAGTTATCTTGTGTAGACCGGCGGCGGCCGGCAGTCAAAGAACCCAGAAACCCGAGCAGAATCCCGAATCCATCCACGCATAGCGTAAGAAAAACTGATTCCAGACAGGCACTAGTTAGTAGTTGACTCGATGACCTTAAAGCATAAACCTAAGCCCTTCCGCGTCCTTAAAGTCTTCTGCATTAGGCGCGTGGGTCGTGGTCCTCGGCACTTCGCCTGCTGCACGGGATGCGAAGGAGCAGCACATGTTAGAATGAGGCTTCTGATTGCAAGTTTTGGGGCCTTCGGCTTTTAGGGTTGACGCTTTCGGGTTCGAATGCCTCGAACGTAACATGAGTAATGAGGGCTGGCTTGGGTCAGCTGCAGCGCGTCCGGTCGTCATCGCTGCCGCCGGCAAGGTCGCTCGGTCATTGCCGGAAGACAGTACTTAGGGGCGATGTACCAGGTTATAATAACCATGGTTGTTGTTCTCGTCACACGAGCGTGGTCGATATCGCGGTCAGGGCATAAGCTGCATCAGCCTACATCTGCAATCAAGCAACGCAGGAACACCGTCCAAACCGATCTTGCTGCAGCTGTCGCCGTTGTTGGAAGCTGCGGGAAGAGTGCCGTGTGGCAAGCTGCAGCAGCCAAGCTGCACTATACAGTCCGAGTCAATGGTTAAATGATCAGATCACAAGCAACTTATGTTAAGGACTGGTGTATAGTTCATATGTCTGCGTCGGATGCTATCAAGGCGCTGCAAACGGTTCTCAGATGTGTGTACCACTGTAGCAGCAGATGCTTCTACCGATTGTGAAGCTGCTTTACAGCTTCGTTGTCCGTTATCATGTTGAGAAGTAGCTGTGGCCTTCTATGGTTGCAGCATGCCACGCTTGTCGCGGTCTACCACTTGCAGCTTAGGCAGTATAGCATGCTATCACAATGTTAACCGTCATTTAGTGCACGGTGGCACTGTTCCTTCCAGCACAACGGCGTTTCATCAGCACGATCATTACTACTTTGTCACTGCTGAGATACTGGTACCTTTTTAAATCATCAATAGTGGTACTCAGCAAGGCGCATACCTATTGATCTTCACATGTCAACATGTTCTCAACATGGACAGCTGTTCAAGTTCTGCACAGTTCTATTGTTGTAAAGGTGTTGCCTTGAGCTCTAGAGCACCAAAAATAGTCCCTCTAGAAGCATAAACTCCCCAACCCTAAAAAGTTCCAATGTCCGACAGTCAGGTGGACGTTGTATCCACATTGTCACGAGAGCAGCTGGCACCTGATGTGGCCGTTTGCGAGTGCCTGGTAGCTGCAGATGTACCTTGGTGTCATGGTGTGTTCAAGGATTCGGGTTTGGGGTGGGAGAGGACTTGACTGAAACTCGGGTTCCGACGTCTGAGGCTCGAAGTTTGTGCGCTCATGGAGTCAGGTTTTGGGAAAAAGAAATCTTGAAGCCTGAACCATCTGGGTTCCGGCGTCTGGTTTATCGGAGCCCTTGTGTTTAAGTTGAGGTCTGTCAAGAAATTCGAACCAAGTCGGATCTTACCATATAGACTCCAAATCCTGTTGGGTTGGGCATTCTGCGGAGCTTAAGTCATGTCATAAATGACGCCGGTTCCGTAGATCTGCTTAAGCATGTTGCAGGTAGGAAGGAATGTCTTTGAGTATGACTACTTTCAGCTCCAAACCCTCATGGCAGTCGAAAGGTTCCTAACCTCACTGACCACATAGCCCGAGACTCCTAACTTCAAAGCCTCAGCCAAACCCCAACCCCTGCCGGGGCTTTGCAAGGAGAAAGCTCCTGGAGTGCCTTTGGTGTTGCTCCAGACGCTGGAGCTGGCAACCGAGGTCGCAACGCGCGAGTGCACCGACATTCTCAAAAAGCTGCGCTTGCCGGCTTTGTCTTTCTCTGCCCGCTGACTGAAGCCGAAGGTCTTCAATGGCTTCATACTTATAATGATTCGGCGGTTTCCCGACAGAGCGGCCGCAGAAGAGACTTCATCTTCAGCAGTGGCTTCCATGAGTGTATTTGACCCTGTTATTTGTGAAGTTGACGCGTCTCTCAGATCAGGGGCTGAGCCCGGCAGGTGGGGGTCAGGGGATCCTGATGGACCCCTAAGCCCGAGCTGTGAAGGTCGAAGTCAACTTGAGCAGAAAGCTATCTACGATTCTTCCATCGGAAGCTGGCATGGTTTCAGGAGCTTTCTCCAATGGGAGTTTCTGAAAGTGTGCTCTTCTCTTATTGTAGCCCTAAGCCCGGGATCCTAGAAGCACCACTCAAAAGAGCGGTGCCGTGTTCAGAAACTCCCGCATCTCCCATGGAGCTCGCGAGCACCGCGCCGCGCAAAGCTCCCTCCGACCGGAGCCTCGAAGATCGGCTAAAGGCGCACCGGTGAATTTTCAGATGATACCGTTTTGCAGGGCATTCATGGCGTTTGCAGGGTCCTATGTCCTATAAGAACTGTTATCAGTTCTGTCCTTTCTAGGATCTGTTCATCTAGGTGATCTAGATGGGCTACCTCAAAAGATGCCTTCTCAACAACCCTGGGAAGACATTGCAAACCCCAGGAAGAGCCTGCTTCACACATGTGTTCAGACAGTTTACTGTTCAGAATTTCGGTTTCCAAGGCAGTCGCGGTGTCTTGGGGGACCCGCCCGGCGTCGGTTTTTTTTCTGAGGTGCTAAGCATGCGCGTAGAAGTAGCCTTGCAGGCACTGGAAACAGTCAGAGTGTGCTGCAATGATCCTCACCACGAGACGTCCGAGCGAGAACCCTCAACCCGAAACCTGCTCTCCTTACAACACGGAAGTCCTGTCGGTTCAACACGCAGGTGCTGACTTCTTCCATTGCTCAGGCTGGTCGGGCGCAGCAATGGAGGAAGCCTGGTCTATGATAAACACAGCATATGTTGAGACATGGGTTTGTTGCTTACGAATCGGGGTTAAGCGTTTCTGACGAATGCTAGTAGCTGAAGATTGAAGATCGAAGAACGCCGGATCATGGCTTTGATGAGGCAGCATCATACGAAGCACGAAGATGGGTTGAGGTGGTGCTCAGATCAGGAAAACATATTTACAAGCACTGTCGGTCGGTGATCTTTTTCCATGATTTCAAGTAAGAGCTTTTGGACGACGGAAGAAGATTCAAGTATTAAGGTCGTTCGCAGATGTAATCGCCAAATAGTCCGAATAGTCCAGGAAAGCCGTGGTATTGTTGGAGGAAGCGTGCTGCCGTCGCTTGCGATTGACCCTGGGAGTGTGTTCATCATCCTGATTTTTGAGTTTCTGCTTGTAGCTGAAGGTTCTGAGGGGGGGTCCCCTGGGAGTCTCCGCGGGGTTTTCCATGGAGCAAATGCAAATGGTAGTGATTCGAGTGACAGCCGTGATACTGGTAACATGTAGTTTGCTCGCTTCGATTTTTCGCTTCGGACTGTTGTGATCTTTCGTGTTGGTTGCTTGGCGTATATGTCCATATCTACACCGTCTGTGTTCGTGTGCGTGTGTGTGGGCGCGCATGGATGGATAGATGGATGGATGGGTACATGAAAGACACGCATACGTACTGTCACGGTAGTAATCAAGTATAGATAAACGCAACTGCACATGCCATGCACACAGCCCCCACACACACACACACATGCATATAGTATGTGTGTGTACACATGCTTCCACGTGCACTGGGACTTATCTGAAAGCATCCAGCTGATACAAGGAACATCATCGTCACCAATGCCGCCATGGCGGCCTGTGAGAAGGAAACCTGGACTTTGCAAGCCCCAACCGATTCCCAACTCTTCGGAGACACTCACTCCTCTACATCCTCCCCTAAATCCGAAGATGTTTCCAGCCCACGCCTTGAACCATACATCCAAAACAAAGCCTTCCAGAGAAGGAGAACCGCAGCTGTTTGGACGAAAGAACATGCCCGAAATCTGAAGTCCTGACGGCGCTTTCGGTATCTGTGGCGATAGACTTTTCCATGACATGTGCTTCTCTATATTGTTGCTACTAGTCGTATGACAAGCATTGTTAGTCGTGCGACAACTGCTTCTAGTTTCATCAGCAGTACAATGTCCACAGCAGCAGCAGCGGCAGCACCAGCAGTAGCAGTGGTGGCCACTAGTTGCGGCCGTTTTCTTCGTGGTGGTGATGGCGGCGGCAGTAGTGGCAGTAGCAGCGGCAGCAGGAGCAGTGGCACCACCAGAAGCAGCGTAGTAGTAGTAGAAGCAGTAGTAGTAGCAGTAGTCGTCGTCGTCGTCGACGTCGTTGTTGTTGTTGTTGCAGTAGTCGTAGCAGCAGTAGCGGTAGTGGTAGTAGTATTGGAGTCGCAGTGGCAGAGGCAGTGGCAGTGGCAGTGAGTGCGAGTGAGAGTGGGAGTGGTAGTGGCAGTGGCAGAGGCAAAGGCAGTGATAGTGGTAGTGGTCGTCGTCGTCGTCGTACAGCAGCAGCAGGTATTGCTAGTACTCGTAATGAACTCCTTTTGCGCCGACTCCGGCTGCGACTACGACTGGGCTCTTGTTGTCACTGGTATTCGTGTCGGTTCCCGGATCCTCAAGCCAGGCCAAGCAGTGGCAAGCAGTGCTGGCACTGCTCAGCTCCCGAGAGTCCGACATGGTCGGCTGGAACTCCGCACTCTCGGCCTGCGAGAAGGGAGGAGCATGGCCAGTCGCCCTCAGCCTCTACGACGAGATTGTGCATCTGGCATTTCCGATAGCACTTTGTTTTTTGTTAGCGCGGCGGAAGCGCAACTCAGAGCCATATACCATTGGATATTACGACGAGGACTATGCCGCCATTGCCCCGGCTTTACATAAGAAGACAGCCCCCTCCACCCTCCAAGCAATGCGAGTGCCCCGGAGAAGCTTGCCCCTGAACCACGTTCGGAGTAGCCCAAACAGTGCCCCAAAACGGAATGACATGTCAAACTTAAAGTTATAGCCGGCGCCATGACAAACTAAGATGGGCGCAGTGGTTAAAATCACAAACACCTTAGGTGCACAGACCGATAACAAGTTTAAGGCTACGGAGCATCACAAGCTATATTATCTGCATGTCTGCGTGGCTTCGTCGACTTTTGTGTGCATACATGCATTGGCATATACCTATACAGTTTTGTACTTATTTTTTACATACATATACGAGAGAGAGGCCCTTTAGGGTATATTTGACGCCTTAGTTGTTATATTACAACCAAATAGAGCACAAGATCACATGGTTAAAATAATTAAATAGGCCCGATGTTAACTGCTTTAGTTGTTTCGGATCTCCAATTGTAAAAATGATTAAGCAAGTATAAGGGAACGAATTTATGTAATTTCAACAAGTTGAGTCTTTTACTCACCACATTTTTAGATGACCTGAACAATAAAAATCCGTAGTTGACGTATCTCGAATCCGTCAGGATTTAAGTAATCAAAATAACCAAAACAATCAACATACTTAAATAGGCCTGACTTTAATTGGTATAATTATTTTAGCTGTGTTGGACTCCATTTTTTTTAATACATAAAATAATTACACGGTGCCGAATTTAGTTATTTCTAACATGAAAATCAGTAGGAAGTCTTCGTAAGGAATACCTAGGGGCGGGATTTTCAATATTTAATCTGTTTAAACCATACCACTTTTAGAAGGATTAAAACAATGAAAATCCGTAGTGAAGGTACATATAAGAAGAATCCGCGAGGATTCTAATAGTCAAAATAATCAAACTACCTGGAATTAAAACAATAAATTAGACCCGACTTCAATTATCTTAATTATTCAAACAGTTTTGGACCTCCAATGTTTGAAATTTATTAAAAATCAAAAAGATCCCGAATTTAATCATTTTCATTGTATATTCACTATTTAGTTATTAAATCAGTAGAAAGTCTTCGTAAGGAATACCTAGGGCCAGGATTCTAGTTATTCTAACTATTTAAACATCTAAACCACCACAGTTACTAAGTAAAAAATAGTTAAAATCCGCAGTTAAAGTATCCTTAAGAAGATTTCGCCAGGATCTTCATAATCAAAATATTCAAAACAGTTAGAAAGTCAATTAGACCCAATATTACTTGTTTCAGTTTATTAGACCCCAACCTTTAAAATGATTAAAGGGGACCGCATGCATTATTTTGATGATTTGACTTGTCAAAATCAGTAGGAAATCTTCGTAAGGAATACCTAGGGCCAGGATTTTCATTATTTTAATTGTTTAAACCGGACATTGGTAGAAGAGTTTTATGATATCTAAAGTCAAAAAAAGAACCCGCTAAGATTTTAAACATCGAAAGGTTCAACTTACTTAAAATATTTAGAACAGTTAATTAGACCCGATTTTTAGACCCCCACTTTGAATTAAAAGGGATCGATTTTAATTGTTCTAATTATTTTAATTGTTCTAATTATTTTAATTGTTTTCGTACTAATCGTTAGACTGTGGTGATTTCAATATTTCAAATGTTTGATGTAACATCAATCGCAGCAAGTTGTTATTACCAGCTGGTTCGGCAAAATTTGTTGCTATTGCAAGGTTTGCTGCTAGCGGTTGTTTCATGATTCAAATATAACCACGAACAAGTCAATCGCAGCAAATTCTGCCGAAGAATCGGTTGGCGACATTTGCTGCTTTTGGCTGCTTCTTGATTTAACGGTAACCACGAACAAGTCGATCGCAGCAAAATTTTGCCCAAGAATCGGTTGGCAAAAGCTCCGACATGAAAAATGCAAGGAGTTGTGTAAACCATTGCCTCCCTCCAACAACAAAAACGCAAGGCTTTTTGCAATGCCTTGTCCCCTTCCAACAACAAAATTGTAAGAGTTGTTTGTAAACCCGTGCCCGCTGCCAACATGAAAACATTGGCTTTTTGTAAACCCATGTTATCCCTATCATTGTTGTATGTGCTACAGTATCAACAACATTCCTACTTGCTATGATGTTGGTGGCACCTTTTTGTTCATGATTACCGTTGTTCATATTGCTTCCTTGTGTTAGATTTGCTTGTGAGTGATGACTAGTACTGGTATAACCACTGCTAATATCAAGGATTTGAGGATAACTGTTACTACTGTAACTACTAACCGTATGGATTGCACTTGTTCTTGTTATTGCTACTGTGGCGAATGAAAGACAAAGTCCGATGAGGGGGACACTGCTTGGAGTTCACCACCCTATCTCCTTCGTCATCATACCCTTCCCCTACCTTCGGTCATTATGTTCTACCTCCCCATCCTCCCTCCCAAGAACAACTTTCATCGTCACCATCTTCACTACCTCCATCATATGACTCTGTCATTGTTGCTGTTCTTGTTGTTCTTGTTGTTGTTGTTGATGTTGGTGTTGATGTTGTTGAAAAGTAAAGTCCGACCGACACTAAAACATAGACTACAAGAACAGATAAGGGGGCGTACTGCCTGCGATTGACGGTTTCAAGAGCATGAACACCAAAAGAGCCAAGGGGGGCACTGCCTGCGATTGAGGATTGGAAAAGGATCATCGCCAGAAGCTCCAATATTTAATTTGTCTTGTCTCACTATCATCGTCAACATCTTCAATGCCCCCATCATACGACTTTGTGACTGTTGTTGTTGTTGGTGGTGTGGTGGTGATGTTGTTACTGTTGTTCTTTGTGCTGTTCTTGTTATTGTGCCTGTTGTTTTTGGTTTTGTTGTTGGTGTTGGTGTTGGTGCTTGTGTTGGTGACCCCCGAGCTTACGAAGGGGCCTGGGGTTTAGAGTTATGGCTAGGGCTGAAAAGGCTGGAAACGTACACGCGCCAAGGAAAACAGCTGCTCGTAGTATACCTTTTGCTGACTAGTGATACATTATGATCAGCATTCATGCCAATATACTGTTTGTTGTCATACAGACGGTCACTGCTTATTCATGTCTACGGTTGTTCATATTGCTCACCAATGTTTTCGTTTCTGTATGACTTATTACTCTTATGGGTGTATTCAGTACTATTACCAACCTTGTGAGGATGATTACTGCTGGTTGTAGTGATCGCGGGTTTTGTTGTTGTTCCTGATATTGTTGTTGCTGCTGCGCTCGTTGTCGTGTTTGCGATATCTTGTGGTTGTTGATTTTGTTGCTACTGTTGACGTTTGCTGCTGTTGTTGGTCACAGTGCTTGTAAACGGGATGGGGGGTCTTTGGAGTTTGTGTTAAAGTTGGAAGATTGGAAGTGTACTCACACCAATGGAACGACAAAGACTAGTTCAAAGGAATGACAAAGACCAACTGGCACAGAAACATAGAATATATAGCTTCAAACACGAGTATTGCAACAACACATACAACAAGCAACGCTACACTAGACAACACTCAATCAAGACTTCATGAAAGTAATATTTCACATCCGATCACAACATCAACAGCAGCATCCGAGACTACTGTGTATGACCATAATGACCGTTATCAATCTGTTAGTTTACACATTGTACCTGCACGCTTGTTTGTGATTCGATCGATGCTTGTTGTTGCTAACAATCCATTTCCGGTTACATGACAGGCAACGAACGGGGCGTCATCTAAGATATTCGACACCTCAAGTATGGATGCCGTTCACCAGGCCAAGCTTTTGAAAGACATGGGAATTCGATATTCACGAATATATCACTGTCGGTTCAAAATGTTTTGCATTTCGGTTTGTGCCATGTACGACTCAGCCACGTACTATTTAGCTAGGCATTTGATATGGTACATACCGAAGGCTGCTTACATAGACCCGAAAGGTATCGGGCTCATAACATGTATGTATGTATGTATGTATGTATGTATGTGTGTATGTATATATATATATATGCACGCATGCACACACACGCGTGCACGCACGAACGCATGCACGTGCACGAACGTTTAAACAAGGTGTCGCACAGAAGTAGCGTTTTGCGCAGGAGGCATTCCTAGATTCAGGCACAGAAGACGACGGCTTGCAAGAATGAGGCTCATTCGGAGAAAGCCAATAACTTTTCAGCTGGCGGATGTTAAGAACAGGTATCCAGCCTACATGTGAGTATGTAGGGACGTGGGCATGGATGTCCGGAAACGGCTCAAAATCCTGAACCGTCAGCCCTAGACCTCAAACTCTCAACTTTGAATTTGTGCCTTGGAACCGAAACACAACCTTCGAAGCCTAGGGCCTGAAGGCTTTTTGCCCTCTTCAACCTGAAACGAAACTTGGGCACAGGCAGACCCCTCGACTTAGAAGTGTTTGAATCTGAGGAAACGAGGGTAGCGGTGCTCTAGTCCAGAGCAATACAGCAATATTGCCACTACCAGCACCCAGACGAACACCAACAGCAATGCGAATGCTTATGCAAGCACCAACACTGAATACTGGTACTGACAAAGAAAGAACTATATTCTGGGACAAAATACCAATAATGCAAGCATTGACAACCCTATTGAAACGTACTATCACCACACCCATGCTTTTCCTATGGCAGTATGAGCGACAGCGATGCACTGTAGCACGACAAGTCGGACTCCGAGGCAGAGGCACCTTCAGCCAGATGCTGTGACCTTCGGCTTGCTTGTCCGCTTGGAGCAGGTCCGTCTTTTTGGCTTACAAGCAACGGTCCTGTTTCCGTTTCGTAGCACGTAGAAGTCTACGTGCTGCCATGAATGGCAGGGACTTGAAACGAGTTGAAAAGCAATCTGCGAGGTGTTGAGGAACTAGTGTCCTCTTTATGTTGTTCGAGGTTCTTA